GGATGATCTTACGGGTCTTTTCCAACCTGTGTGATTCTGTGAATTGCAGCTGCCAATTTTCCTTCTCCAAGCCACTCATAACTTTACAGAGCTCATCAAATCACACCAGTTTTCTCTCTTCCAGCTTGCGTAGTTTTATTAATCCTTCTTAATATAAAAGGTATTCCAGATCTTTGAGTATCTGTGCTGCCCTTTTCCTTGTTTACGTTGCGATAAAGAAGCCAGAATTACGTGCAGCGTTCGGGGTGTGAACGTACAGTACAGATATGTACCATGGAACAAGATGCCCATCTCTTGTCCTTACCCATTTTTAATTATTTCTAACACTCATTTTCTTTCTGTGACCTTCACCAGCCCAGAGCCAAACTTTTCATCAGACTGCTCAGGGTGACTCCAGATGTCTTTTCTGAGTGGCAGCCAATTTAGGAACCCTTGCTGTGGCTGTATGGTCCTCTTCCACGCGCAGTGTTTTGCATTTATCAGGGGTTCATTTGTCATTAGATAACGTGGTCTCCGGAATCATGAGATCTGCCTTTCCCAGCCAACTTTTTTCCCCCCCCCCGAATAACTGAATAGTCTTGGCCATTTTTTTTGTTTTGATATAAACCATCTCGTGTAAATTATATGAGTATGTTCAGCAGAACCTGCCACTCTTACTGGCGGACTCCTTTTCGTTTCAGTCTTAAAATAGTTACTCCGAATTGTAAATAAATGTTTATATGAATACTAGTAAGACTGAACATTTATAGTACTTGTGTTCTTGAAGAGTTTTTGGTGAAGAGTCTGGCCAGATGTTTTTTGAGGTTTGAGACTGCTGTGTTGACCAGCTCACTAGTGTCTGCACGCTTACTGACTTTCCAGAGAAATCTTGGGGAAATACACTTCAGAGAACGTGGCTTCTCTATGCAAAAATGGCACCTAGGGCTACCAAATATTTCCATATTTGATCTCCTGTCCGGAAATACTCACAGACCCATCATGTGGTGCATAATTAGGAAGCGCCGAGCTTTCCAAAATCGCCAGGTGGCGTAGCATAGGTATGTGGGGTGCTGACAGGAAGCCAGGAACTTTCTGTTTGCTCACCAATGCGAAATAAGCCGAAGCAACGCTTTTTGGGAGCTGCTCTGCCAGGCGTGAAGCCTTCTGCTTGGGTTAGGCTTGCCGACGGACGATGGACTTCTCTCTCCGTGTGCCCTGTGCAAGTGTTTGATGTTGCTGCTGTCTGAGGTCCTTGTTTGGTCACCCTGGTTGTGTTAGTTACGTATGCTTATGTATTTCAGGCAGTTCTTCTACTAGGACAACATTTCCAGGCAAAATAAGGTGCGTTTAGAAAACGAAGGCAGGCAATACCCATTACCTAGATAAACCTGGTGGCAAAATCTGGAGAAGTGTGTTTATAAAAAGGTTAAGAAGTTAGTGAAAGTGGGCTGTTAATACTTGGGGAGCCACATATCTAAGAAGTATGTTATTTAGCGCCAAGTGCCAAGGAAATGAATGAGGTGTATCAAAAGGAATTTTATTTTCTTTATAGTGCTTTTATAGCGTTAGCCAAAAGTTCAACAGTGAAAACCACATGGAAGATCAAGAAACGGTAGAAATGTTTAGTAGGAGAGCGTGAAAGAGGTATTCACATCGGCGAGACTGCGGTCATTTATTACCATTATTGGACTAATTTCTTAGCATTGCAGACAAGTAATACTTGGCCGAGCGCCACAGGGAGCAGCAAATACCACATCACAGGAGTACGCACTGCTGCTTCCTAGAAGTTGTCATGGTCTCTATGTAACGTTTTCAGCACGTCAAAATGCCTCATTTCCCCACAGCTGTTCCTATTTTCAGTAACTGTTGGGACATTTTTGCACGTTCAAATATGCATTCATATATTCTGAGCTATATTAAAATGCTTTATGACTCATTTGCCTTTTTGAAGTTGCTTTTTAGCAACATCTGCATTGAAGCGTTTAGGCCATCAGCTGAGTAACGTAGCCTGGTTATCCCTCTGTCGGGATTGAACTCCTGTTTAAGAAAGCAACTCCTGGCTTTAGTCGTAAGATTTTCTTCCCACTGTTTCCAGTTTAAGGAAATTTAGGCTTTTGCCTGTATTTTAGTCACGTACATACTAATGCCTAGAACTGTGAAGATCAGGAGTGGGTAGCAGACTGTTGTCTGTGGGGAACATCAGTAGTGTTACTGTTCACCGCACGGGAATAGCCTCATTGCTCCTCTTCACTTTCTTACTTTATCCTTTCCGTACAGCTTTAAAGACATAACCTGTCCGGGAAAAGTCTCCTTGAACGCGACCTTCGCCGTGTGACACAGCGTTCTCACTGGGCCCTTCAGAGCAATACCAATCAGAATGTAGAGTCGCCAGTTCTCGGTGTTCTGCATAATCCGGTTCTGGCAGCTCTGGAAGGATCTTTCTCAAACAGCGCCCTCCAGAACTGAAGGATGCTGTTACTGTAGACCAGCCAGAAGCAGTTTCTAGCTACCTTACGCATTCAAAAGCTTGGCCGTTTTGTTGTGCTCATGTCTGTATCCCTTTTGTTCTCTTCACAAAAACGTTCAGGTGTTCTTTGATGTGAAGATCGGAGACAGAGATGTTGGCAGAATTGTAATTGGATTGTTTGGAAAAGTTGTCCCAAAGACTGTGGAGAACTTCGTTGCGCTGGCAACTGGAGAAGTACGTTTGCGGTTTTCTTCCACTCTGTACTCTAGTTTGGCTTGGAAGTAAATACTTGTTTAATGCTGTTGGTGAACTGTTGACCTTAAGTCAGCGGAGACGGTGCGAGAGTGCCATCCCCAGGGCTCTGCACTGGTGCCCGCCACCTCCGGTCCTTGGGGCTTGGATCACAAGATGTGGTCGTGAGACGCTGGCTGTTGCCACCTCAGCCGGTCCCTGCCACGCAGACCTAGCGTGCAGAGATGCCGGGGTCAGGCATCAGTCCGGTGAAGACGACGGCTTCCATCACCTGAACAGCAGTACCTGCTTGGCGGCAGTGCAGCCCAGCTGCATTCACCGGCCTCTCGGTTTAATATTTTCTTGCCAGTATTGGTCTCTGGGGGTGCCATACTCTGCGAAATCCGGCCGTTTGCCACGCTGCATGTTGCCATATGACTGTACAGCACTGGATGTTACATTCATTTAAAGAATTATTTCGTTTTCTTAGAGAGGATATGGATATAAAGGAAGTAAATTTCATCGTGTGATCAAAGACTTCATGATTCAAGGAGGAGACTTTACAGCTGGAGATGGATCAGGAGGTAACACGCTTAGTATCTTCCAGGTTTCCTTTACTTTCTTCGAATATCTGCTGAAAAAATGGGCAAAACAGCACATTCCCTCCTTCTTTCGGCTCATGTAAATGAAAAAAAAAAAACCCAAACATCTATTTTAGACCATCTGGTATTTTTCCAAGCATCTTGGAACATAAGCTGCAATTAATTGGATTACCTGATTGAAAGTATGTGTAGAGCTTCCTTTGTCCTCAATTTTTGCAGATAGCTCTTTTCAGTCTGACTTGTCCCCGCCCAAGAAGCGTGGCTGCGCGCAGTGGGCTGGAGTCACGTGACCAGCTGCGCGGCTGTTCCAGGGCACGCTCTCCAAAAGGTGGACGTCTGCACCCTGCCCCCGCCCTGGCTTTGCGGCGGCGCCCCTCCCCTGAGGCACTCCTGCGTTGCATGTATGCGTGAACCAATTCCAGTCGTCCAGCAGAAAGCTAATCTGCGACGAAGCAGTGAAAGCGCGTAGAGGGAAGGCAGGTAGGGAAGGGGCAGGCTGTCCTCCCTGCCCTCGGCTCAGCCAGGTCTGCGGCACCTTCGGGAATGCGCTGCGGGAGGGAATTTCAAAACGTGGGGTTTCTCTCTTATCCGAGAAATTAGAAAATGAGGGTCATGCCCTCTCCCCTTTTTCCTCTTACTGCATGTCAAACCGTAAACCTGCTGCTGCATCACTTTTCCCTCCTGAGCCTCCGGAAGACGGCTTCAGCCCACTAAGGAGGGCAGCCCCAGCGCCGCATCTCCCACACTGCGTGCGTTCTGCCTTTTTTTTTTCACGTGCTGCGATTGGAGCTGTCTGCATAACACGTGGGGGATGTCCCCCCTGGGACAGAATGGGAAACATGCGTTCCTTTTCCTTGTGAGCAGTAGGGAAGGCTGGAATACCAGAGATGCAGTTGTAGCATTAACAGTCGGCCGTGCTTGTTTGGCCGCTAACACTGTTCCTTGGGATAGTATCTGGCGGCGTGTTGGGAGCAGTGTCCCCGCTGTGCAAGGGGACAAGAGGCCCTCTCTTTTCAGAGTGGTGGTGGTTTAAACATGACTCATGTTTTCTCTCCTGAACTGTTTTAGAAGCATCAAAATCCTTATGTTTGTTCAAATCCACACCCAGCCTTGTCGGCTGACTTCCATTGGTCTTCTTCTATTTCTAGACATGTCTAAAGTGGTTTCTTTCTCGGAGGAAAACATAGAAGTAAAGACTAAAATTGTCACAACACGTGGCAACCTTGTTTTTAGTGGCCATCATTCCATAATTTACCTCTGTTGAACAGGGTGAAGTAGACTGTTGTTCAGTGATGAGCAGGACCTGGGAAGGTGCTCGGCTTGCTTAGGAAGTTCAAAGGGTAAAGCATCATCAGCTTTAAATATTCCTTCCTTATATGTGGTGGTTTAGCTCACCTTTTTCTTTACATACACAGTGTTTTTAGTTAGGGAGTCGCTGCCGATGGAACAGTGGTGCTGCTCTCCTTACTCAAACGATGAATTTCCAAGCTTTACACTTTTGTTTTTTGCGATTTTTGGACAAAAAGGTGTTTTTTCTTGTTTGACGTTTTTCCTTAAAGCTTGCTTTCTTACTTTGCGTCCTAGGAAGAAGCATCTATGGAGAAAAGTTTCCAGATGAGAACTTCAAGCTCAAACACTATGGAATTGGGTGGGTTAGCATGGCTAATTCCGGCCCGGACACCAACGGATCCCAGTTCTTCATCAGTGTGACAAAGCCTTCCTGGTTAGACGGAAAACATGTGGTGTTCGGCAAAGTCCTTGACGGAATGGTAAGCTAGAAGTAGTGGCGAGATTACCCCAAGAAAATCTGGACAAACTGCGCTGCGTGGTATCTGCGTTGGCGTGACTCGGGCCTTTGTGGCTCAGACGGAGCGAGCGCTTCTCTCCTGCGTACGTGGTAGGCAACGATCGCGAAGAGCTTGGAGCTGGACCGTTAGGAGCTGAAACAGCAATGGTGACCGCAGAAACGGAACCCTAAATCACGCCTCTGGCTTTCAGAGCTCTCGTTTCAGACGGCTCACTGCCGAAACCAGCCCTGACCCCTCTGCAGATCACGACCGGCGCAAGTTCAGGTCCCCCTTTCGCCAGCGCTCTTAGCCGCGAAACAACGGCGTTTCTACAAGCCGAAACCTCGTGGTGCGGCCTGTGCTAGTCCACTCTTAATCTGGATAATTCCCTCCAACTCTGCACGGCTGCAAAACGGACAAATTCCTCTCATTGCAAAGGCCAGCTACTTCTGGGATCTGGTTTTCCTTTTAAATTACTGAAAGCTGTTGGAGGAGTTCGAAAACTGCCTCGGAATGCTCCCCCCTACCCCCGATGCCCACTTTGCTACCGAATTCACGTCTCCTGAGTGGCGGTGGTAGCCGATAATTCTCGGGGCGAGACTTGGGCTAAGATTCAGTTCAGTGAGATTACGGGACAGGCATCCAAGGCCAGGCAGTCGGTATTCTTAGCTGAACTTTGTCCCTTAAAAATGCTGCTTCAGTCAGGCTGGTAGCGTGCCCGCACCCCTCTGACTGGGGGGCACGGCACCCCACTTCAGACCTGGGCGAGCGCGTCAGCTGAAGGCACCAGCAGTGCTCGGATCGCTTGACGCTGCACGTGCAGAAGAACACTTCCCGCTCAGCCTCGGTGGTCTCTGGGTCTGCGCTCTGCTCGTGGGCTGCCCCTGTATCTGCCAAAAGGGTGTTTTCAGTTGACCCTTCTTAGTGTTTCAGTTGTCTGAGGGGTTGTTGCAGAAGGGCAGACGGCCTTCCGTGTGCTTCTGCCAGCGGCACAGCTGGTAACGGGGTGGGAGGCCAGCGGGTGCTTCCTCAGTAGTACTGCTCGGAGCGCGTGGTTGTTCACCTGCAGCCGGACTCAGCCGAGCCCCGGCACCTTCCTTGGCTGAACCGAACTCTCTTTTCCCCCAACAGTCCGTGGTGCACTCCATAGAGCTCCAGCAGACGGACGAGCACGACCGGCCCCTTCAGGACTGTGTGATTGTGAACAGCGGCAAAATAGCTGTGAAAGAACCGTTTGTGGTCGAAGTGGGCGACTGGTGAGACCAACGGCCATGGCGGAAAGCAGAGCTTCGGCACTTTTCTTTAAGGCCTGTTTTTCACCGATCTTAACTATCCATTGAGGTTTTTTCCTCAAAACGTAACGGGGCTATATTTACACAATACTTAACCGTTGGCCAAATACATAAAAGATAAGACCATTTCTATAACAGCTCGATGGAGCTGTCGCTCCTTGAAATGCCAAGACGTAACCCGCGAAATCCTGGATCTTGCAGAAGTCTGTCCTAAAAAATGTTAGAAGTACTTCTGTCTTTTCAGTTTTTGAAATACAGTCATTTTGTTCTCTTTGGAGAAATTTTTGCGGTATTTGGTTCTTCCTTTTCCACTGAAAATTACTATTTTCTGTAACAGTATCAGCATTTTTAAAAATGGGAAAAAAAAGTGAAATACAGAAGTGTTTTGAATAAATAAACTTGGATTTGAAATAAATATGTAATGAGGAACTTTTTTCATTCCCCCCCACCCCACCCCAAAAGGCCTTTTTTCTCCCCTCGGTTGATTCTGCAAAGTACGCCGGGGGTGCCGCTTCCCGGGAAACGAGGTTGTAAGGTCAGAGCAGGGACAGGAGATTTCCCTGATCTTGAGGTGCCAGACGAAGTGCCCGCCGCCTCGGAAGCACCCGCAGTATTCGG